TCGATATAAGGACATTTTCGATATAACGACCATTTGGGTTGGAACCGAGCGTGTCGTTATATCGAGACGCACTTGTAATTACAAATTAATATGTTTAAAATTGCTGCTCAATGGAAGTAAGGAATTTGTTTCCTTGTCATAAATTTATTAAAAGCGGGACTTGCGTTCTTTGTGAACTTCTAATTTCACGGTCACACTATTATCCTCATGCGGTAAACTTTTACTGATAATTTGTTCTGTAAAACGCCCCTACATGCAGAATAGATATGTCAAACCATAATTTTAAGATATCTCAAAGCGGATCAGATGTGAGTAACCTATTCCGTAGGGTTGAATTGTTAGACAATAGTTGACAGCTTCTAATTAAATTAAAAAACAGTTTAGGCGATAACATGTTTCGTTGCTCGTAAGATATTCTACAGAGTATAATTAATAATGTTAAGATGATATATATTCTATTTCGTTCGGCTCTATATCGGAAATTTACAAAATGATAATAAGCCCTTTTATATTCCAAGTCAATCCACTTCCTCCTCTTCTTCTTCCTCTTCCTCTTCCTGCTTCCTAGCAACGTCACGCACTACAAAATATCGGAAAAAATCACCTACAAATAATATTGATTTGAGGCCTATCAGTAGATGCAGAATGACTGGGCAAACAGCCGAGCAATGAGTCTGCAGTATTGGCTCATCGATATCTGTATACCTATTGGCTATACTCTAAATTCTTAAAACATTACAGACAATTACTGACTACTTGGAAATTCATCTAATGATATGTTAAAATCATTTATCCCATTAGATAATATGTTGGTTCGTACCCATTTGCCATGCCGATGTCAACAGTTCACCGCTATCTACTTTCTTTGGAAATGAAGTTAATATCGGTGACATGCTCGACATACTCGATGCTGACGGTCCAAACGAGACCCTTCTGTTCGTTCTTGGTATTGTGATTTTGGGCGAAGATGGTGATGTGGCAAAGTGACTTGTATAATGATTGATGGCCAATGTTTTCAAGGACTGCAGCTCCTGATTTAATTCAGCTAGCTGTTGTGCTTGACTTGCCTTTATATGATCCAACATCTGATTACCATGCAAAATATCTATATCTCAGCTGTTTGATTTTATATCAGTTATACACAGATATATACACTTGCTAGCATCAATACCTTGAAAACCATTTCCCCGACGGCCTCTACCTCTTCCTTAAGTACACCAAGATCCTTGTCTCTCTTGATACCATTGGCTTGGAGTCCCCTTAACAATTTCTCCAATGCAATCAAAGTTTCCCTCATGCCCACGCTCTGCTCCTCTACATACTTTCGAATCAATTGAGTATCATTATTCACAGCGTCTAACTTATCAGAAGTAATCATAAACTGATTATGCTGCGCCAACTGATCCGTTATAGTTGGGCTAAACAGAGGTCCTATATATTTCTACAACGATTATCAAAATTGTAATAATTTATTGAGCATATGAATAATACATACATTGTATTTACCTTTGTCATAGATATGAGAGCATGCCCTAATCCGCCCACAATAATTACATTAAAAAATAGGTCTCGCCAATCCATTCTTGGTTGGTAATGTAGCAGTTGGTGCATTGGTTGATGTATATCTGGTTCCTTCGCAGACATCTCGATATGCGTCACTAGAGCATCCCTATCTATTATTAGCCGTAAGGCCTCGTTTATCTCTTCTCTAGTTAGACCTTTAGACGCTAAAAAATCTAGTCTCTTATCAAGAGATGTGCTCTGCAAAGTAGGATGTTGCAAAAATTTAACAGCAGAATGAACTAAGTCACTACGTACGGCGGCCATTCCTTCTGCTCCTCGAAGGATATAACGGAATATCTATCTACGAAAGCCTTCCTTTTGCAGTGAGCTACATGTGTGGCGTGAAAAGGGGTAACACAGTAGGCAGATATAAATTAGGCATCAAGGCCGTATCAAGCTCGAACGAAGCAATAAATGCAAAACCACTTTGTTGAGGATAAGTTTATTTTTTATCTGCGCAGTTCTCTGTGTTGCTACTCCTAGAATTTCGGTCTTCGCACAAGTTGTTTGCAATTCGGCCCAAATCGTAATTGGCATTCGGGGCTAGCCCAGTTCAGAGTGATATTTATTTCGACATTGTCACATAATAATAATAATAATTTATGCATAATAATTTGGGGCAGACTGCAACAAAACCAGACAAAGTGAACATTTGATCATGTGTGCTAAAAGAGGCTGATGTGGCTGGAAAATAAACTAATCTAGTTGATGACAATTTGGTGAGGCTTTGCTTGATTTATAGCTGTGACTCATGCACCAATCCAGACTAATTTTTAGTGGCATTTTGGACTTATTGCTAGTTTTAAGCGAATGCGACTAGCATTTCTGTATAAAAGTAAAATGAATTCACGTTTACCAAAGCCAAAAACACTTGCTACAACGTATTTTCAAACAGTACAAAAAGGCTGTACATGGTTTCCTCTAGTCGCGGGCAAACATTTGCACTACTCAAAAAAGCTTTATTCAATAAGATGGTTTGTTATTTTGATTTCTGACAATTCTGCGTGCACAGACAAGAATGCTAATCGCGTTTCTATTAACAGAAATTCCTGCACAAAGTTGTAGAAGTTTGTTTGCTTTTGCTATCTGTCAGTTGGTTTACCAACCGGCGATTTTTACAATTGCATGCTTCCTTCCACATATTAATAACTGCCAACAAGCTGCTGTGCACATGGTGGTTGACAAACTGAAGAGCCTCTGCAAAATACGAGATAATTTCAAGTGGTTCAAACCAAACAACAAGCATTGCTCTCCGAACCAACCAAATTATATTATGGAGACGTTTTAACATTCTGGAACAAGTTTAAAAAACTCGTTGATGTAAAGAGGAAATTGGACGATATTAGTTTGTCCAAAATGACTGCAAGATTAGGAGCAAGATCGAAGACCTTGGAAAGGGCAGCATTGGAGCTTCTACAGTGGAGAACTTTCGCAAACAGAAAACGAATCCCAAGCCCAATACCTTAAAATTGATAGCGTCTTGGGTAGAAAACAAAAGGAGAGAGGATTGCGAAAATTAACAGCTTAGCGAGCCCAAAGAATAGGGACAGTTTTCGCCTTTCAAGGCAGGTCTAGGGGCCGACTGCTCCCTCCCTTGCAAGCTCGCGATTGTTTTTGAAGGGCTTATTATTATGGTGCAGATCATCTAAAGCTCGAAATAAATTAACCAACTTTTAAAACCCTAAGGCTTTTCTATTAGATGATATGGAGAAAAACTAATCCGTAAGAATGATAGAACAGATGATGCAGAACAAAAGTTACAGTTTAGATTTTTTAGTCAACTAAAAAAGTTTTGAGTTTTAGGGATTTGAAAAGTGATAGTTTTCTTATGTTTTCTTAAGTTTCCAGAAAAATAGAAAATTTCGGACGCACCGGTTGTGTAACCGTTGTGTGTAACAATCCGTTATCCAATATAATTTGATCCATAAATCCTTATTGTGTTTTCAGAACATTTTATTGGGTGAATGTCATGTGATTGTTAGTGATCGGACTGTAGATGATTCGCACCATATTTGATCACTTACGTTATAGTTAATAAAAACAATCTGATGTAATCTCCACGTGATCAATTCACAGAAATACCTCCATGAAAAAAAATTTTTTTTTTTTCATTTGTACACACGTTTTTCTCTTCGTTTACATCTTATATAACTCGTTTTGGTGTGAATTCGCCTGTCACATCATAACAAAAGGGTTTACAAGAGCATTTCTGTACCGAATTAGTTGAGCTATGGATGCGCAGCAAGAAAAGAGAAAGATCGTCAAGACTGCTTAAAAGGAGACGGGACAATTACTTATACGAATATCTTTTGCAATGACAAATGCTGAGCTCCTTCCGGGAAGATAGTCAACTCGAACACGTTTGGTACCTCACCAGTCTGAGGGATTTGAAGAACAACAATTTCTTCAGGACTGACGCAGCTATTGCTTAGGAGATGTTCGAGGCAAGAGTATTTTGCTTCTTTATCATTGAGACATCCAACTTCACCCAGCAAGAGCATCCGCTGGTTTGCTCTTGTGATGATCCGCTGGTTTCGGGTGAATGATTGGCAGGCTTTACCAAGCAAGAGCATCCGCTGGTTTGCTCTTGTGATGATCTGCTGGTTTCGGTAAATGCCTAGAATGTTGGAATTCGCTTTACCCAGCAAGGGCATCCGCCGGTTTGCCTTTGTGATGATCCGCTGGTTTCAGGTGAAGTGAATTTGCATTCATCGACCACATCAAGTTTGGGGCGTGCCGCTTGTGACCTGCCGTCCAATGTTCGTTTTCTGTTTCACTTATGAGTTGTTTTATATGCATCATCCTCCTTTTAAGGTCGAGAAATGTTTGCCTGCTGTTGTCAACTTTTGGAAGGAAGTCAATGAAAGGCGACAGCAAAGAGAAGACGAGGAAGCTGCTGTCCGGACTGCCTCATTAGGCCACCTTCATATCTTTGGGCAATCAGTGGGTATTGGAAGGTGCCAGTCTTCAGAATGTTCTTGCTTCACTAAGTCTAATGCTCTTTGCTATGACTAGTTTACCAAATATGGCCAGAAAATGCAAAAGGAGAACAGAACAGGAACAATACTTGTGCAAGGAGAGACCAAACCAGCCCTGGTGATTATGCTGATTCTTGTGACTCAGTGCTCATGGTTGAGATCAATGAGACCACCAGCAACAAAGAGTGTGAAGCAACAAGTGAAGAGGAGCACATGATAGAGATGCAGTCCAATGATGCACAAGAACTTGAAGACAAGGATACTGTAGATGTTGCTGATCTGCACAACCCACATATGGGGCAGACTGCAACAAAACCAGACAAAGTGAACATTCTATAAAATGAGAGGCTGATTATTATGTGGCTGTAAAATTGACCAGTGTGACTAATGACATTTGAAAAATATGGACTTATTAATTTTAATGTTTCCTTTATCATACCAGAAGGTGAGGAATATAAACCATAATATGATTAATATAGGATTACCTCTATATATAAAAATATTAATATGAAACTAATTTACATTAA